AACATACAGACATGCACACACATGTGTACATACATGCACACTGTTGTGTAAATTTGACAAGAAACAGTGTAAACCTGACAGTCTAGGCAGAGATTGTTATAAGAATAAAAATGGAAATGAGTTTTTTTTTGGTTTTTCGAGACAGGGTTTCTCTGTGTAGCTCTTCTCTTTATAGCCCGGGCTGTCCTGGAACTCACTGTGTAGACCAGGCTGGCCTCAAACTCAGAAATCCTCCTGCCTCTGCCTCCCAAGTGCTGGAATTAAAGGTGTGCACCACCACTGCCTGGCTTGGAAACAACTTCTTCTTCCTTTTTTTAGAGGTTAAAAATAATGTTTTTCCTAGAGTTATTTGCATTGGCCATTTAGAGGCTTCCCCTATCCCCAGTGCCTTGGTTGGGAGAGCAGGGACAGCCGCAGGCGGCCTGGCCAGGACCGTGTGCAGCTCCTCAGCTTCTGAGGCCGACTTCACACTTGACGGACAAGAAGATGGAGGTGTCTTGCTGCCGGGGCCTTCTCGAATGCTGGAAAGTGAAAGTCAGGCTTCCCGTGTCTGCACTTTGTGGCACCCAGTGGGTCCCTCTTCTAGACTGCAGTGGCTCAGCATGGCATGCCTACCAGTGGATGCCTTTCCTTGTGATGTACAGGGACAAGAGTTCCCTGCAGCTGGAACAGTAGAGTCTCTGTGAACCTCTGTTTCACAGCATTCAATGGGAAAATCAGGGGAGCCCACAAATAAAAGAATAATAACAAATAATTTATATTTGTGTGAAAGACCTCATAGTCTTGTGAACAGAAAGTGATTTCGATTTCCCCCAACCTCTTTACATCATTACATATCTCAAATGCACTTTTCTAAAGGCCTCTGTACTTTTCATTTGACCTCAAGGATGTTTGAATAATTTGAGACACGCCACCTCTCAGATACCTGCTCTTTCTCATTTGTGGGGGTGCGTTCAGATTCTGGGGTTGTTTGAATAGCTCAGACTTCAGAACCATCACTTTCAGGGCAGTAATTGTTTTGTTAGTACTCAGAGTTCTCTGGGGGAAACAAAACCAACAGAGTGGTCATATATCACAAAGGTGACTTATTAGACTGGCTTACATGATACTTTCTGGGTAGTTCAGCAATGTCTGTCTTCATACTGGAGAAGCTGAGAATCTAGTGGCTACTCAGTGTACAAGGCTGGGTGGCTCAATAGCCCCATCTGGAACTGAAGATGGAGTGGGACATCTAGAACATGGGTCTTTGGTCCATACTAAAAGGCTGAGAAGCTGGGGTCCATCACCAGCCAAGGATGGCAGCAGCAGTGGTTGCAACCACAAGGCCAGTGCAGTCACCACAAAGGGTGCAGGCAGGCAGGCAAAAAGAGTCCTGCTTTTCCTTCACTCCCTTTTCATTCAGTTCTTTCAGGAAATACTCTCTTGGACCCCCCTCAGAGGTCCTTAGTTAATTCCAGATCCAATCAAGTTAATGACAGAGATTAACCATCACAGTGATTAGTAGAGTGCTATGATCTTTATATCCCAGTTTTTGGATGGTTCAGGGGAACATGGATCTCAGTGATTATCTGATTGGAATGGGGGATTGGATGCCTGAGAAACACACAGGCATTTAGGGGCATACACCACTCTGTGAAATCTTCGCTCACATGCCACAATTGTTTGGGTTCATGTTTTGGCAAAATTGGGAGGGTGGCCTTATGTGGAGATTTCAGCTGTGTGTCTCACTTCAGAGGCTTTGATGTCTTCTTCACTCATAGATAGAATCGGTCTGATTGGATAAGTCCCTTAGCTTCTGGCTCACTCAGCTGCTTCAAAAGGGATATTCCTCCACCTGGAGGATATGGACAGGCTTAGGAAATGTAGCCAAGTTTTGGCCCTTTACCTCTAGATGCACTAAATTCCTTAGGTAGTTGGGTCAACTTCTGCCTGCCATGACAAAAACGAGGCAGAAAGGGAGTGGAGACATAAAGTATAGAGTAAAGGTTCTCTCTTCAGGCTGATCATCTCCAGATAGGGAGCGGAAGGTTGGTCTGTGGGATGACCCCCTGCTGATTCAACTAATGGAAGGGGTACTTGAGAGTGTCTAGCAGAGCAGCCAGCCTCTAAGAACTTGGCATAACCCATCCTGGACGTCCTGTGGCAGATTTGTTGGTTAGCAGAGAAGCCCTGGGCCAGGAGTCCAGAGATTTGGGTCCTTGGTTCTGATGTCAGTAGTAGGTAGCCATATGGTGCTGAGGTAGCTGATTATCCTTCGTGTATTTCTTCATCTCAGTAAAATGACAAGAGAAGACACCTGTCTGTAACTTTTTAGGTTCTTAGACCCCCTCATTTCATGGATCTTCTTAAGGTCTAGTTGACCCTTAATGTACTGGCTCAGGGACAGTCTTGAATATTTTAGTGCTCTGCCAGTAAGAAACAGAACCCAAGCACTGCCTTTTGGATCATTCATTATTCTGTTCACTTGTGTAATATGTATAACAATCAAGGAAGAGTTAGCTAGCTGTTACTGTAATGATTCTTCAAATGTTTTGCCTTTCTTGCTGTTTAGAGATCTCATGTTGTTGTTGTAGTTATTATTGTTGTTTTGAAGTATAAGATATTTAATCTGAAATCTAGGCAGGTGGTAAAAGACACATAAAGTTGTTGGGGTCAATGTTGACTACTTGAGGTTTGGTAAACAAATAAACACCTCCACTCCTGGAAACCATTGGGGAAATGAGGGTCTAGAGTCACCAGAGGTTTCAGGACAGAAGAAAAATGCAGAAATAAGCTGAGAAGAGGGAAACATGGCAAATGGTGAGAAGGAAGCAGACGAGTTTTTACAGAGAAAATGAAATTTTAGCAGTTTTTTTTAAATAAAAGAAAATTCTGTTTGATATTTTACATTTTCTTGATAACTTAATAAAGAATCCGGGGAAGGAGTTGTAGACCTATCACCTAGTGAGGGGATTTGTCATTGGTGGCAGCTCATCTGTGAACAGCAAGGGAAGATCAATGTGTTCGTTTTTAGTTCCTCCTGTAGTTACAGTTCTGAAAACAAACAGTGCAGGATGGTTTGCAGCATACTGCCAGGAGGAATTTGGCGCAGTCTGTAAACACTGATGGAACTCTGCTGGGGATCAGGCTCCCTGCTAGACTCAAAGTGGGGTATGTAGGTGAGGGAGCACAACCTGCCTCCAAGGAGCACACTTTTAGAAGGGAAGAGGGCAACAGGTCTTTAAGAGTGATGTGAAACAACTATCAACAAAATGTTAAAAAAATACCCTTGGAGTCTGGCTACCAGCTGTCACCTGAAGGAAGTCATGTCCATCCCTCCCCTGTGCTCCAGTTCCTGAGGTGCGCTCCTGATTCACTCTTATAGCCGCAGCTGGTTTCCCATGAGGCAGCCCGAGCAATGAATCCACTGCCATCATAAGGCATGTCCTATGAGGTCCCTGCCCATAGTGGCTTCCTCCAGTGGCTTCCGATTTTGCTAGGTTCATGTTCACAGCATGTTACTGGTCTGCATGTATCATAGTCTTCCTCATTCACAAAATTCTCTCAAGCAGACGTGACCCCTTTGCCCTCCTTTCCGTGTGCCACGCCCCAGCACCCACTGCGCAGATGCGCACATGCGCACATGTTCTTGTCACAGTGGCTCCTCCCTCTGCATGCCTGGGTCACTTTCCCAGGCTCCACTTCTCTTTTATGTGTCTGCTCAAAAGTCACCCTCTCAGTGAGGGTCCCTGCCATCTTGTGTAAAATTGCAACTTGCCTGTAGTCCACCTTGTCATATGCTACAGTTTTCCCATTGCATGTCCTTCCCTCCTGCCTGCAGTATCTTCTGTGGAGTCTAGTTTAACATTAGTTCTTCTCTGATGAAGAGAGCACCAAGAAGGCAGGGTCATTATTTTATCAACTGTTGTTCAATTTAGAGCAGTCTAGAATAATGTTGGAACACATTTAAGCACACCGTAGTTATTTGTCGGATGGTTGAGTAAGAAGGAGAGATTAATTCTGTGGACCATCTGGAAGAAAAGAGCCCTTGGAGCTATGCTTGAAGGGATGATGGGTAGACTTTGTTGAAGCTAGGCGTGAAGGATGATGGGTAGACTTTGTTGGAGCTAGGCGTGAAGGATGATGGGTAGACTTTGACCATCAGCCTTTCTGGGAAAGTTCCTTCCAGATGAAGGTCACAAAGGTGAAAATGTGGTGGCACTCTCCTGAGTTCCACCTGACTGCCATGTGGGGCAGCGGCAGTGGATCTGAATTTGTAGTGGCGTAAAGGAAAAGATTCCTAGTCACTCCCTTTAAGTACATGGCAAGAAAACTGGCGACTGAAATCAGAACGCTGGCACATGAGCGGTAGGCATAGCCCACTCCCTCCAGAGACCACCAATGCAAACAGTGTTTGCTAACTCGATCTGGTTTTTATGGAGCACTTCTTTGTTTTCAAAACACAGTCACTTGGCTTGTTGGAACAAGCTTCATAGCTGGCCAACAGACTGTGGCAGGTAGTGTTTACATGCTCAGAGAAGCTTTATTAAAAACTGTGTTGCATCTTACACGAGAGGCAATGGAGCCTCAAACCACCTAGGTGATGTGCCTGAGGTCACTGGGTTAGGACAGGGGACAACAGCCTCCTGAGTCTTGCCAGGCTCCTCCCTAGTTCTCACTATCCAGTGCTGGTGCTTGCTAGGCTTCCGGCTTGGTTTTGTTTTCCCTGTTGGTGATCAGCAGGGGGCTTTTTGTCAAGCCACTTCTCCTCTTTCTCTAGTTCAGCTCCCACCCAATCACTGCTTTTTAAGAAGAGAGACGGGTAACATGAGCTATTTTTTAGTTTTGCCTATTTAGCGTGTTTACCTTGAGTCAGCTCTTGGCGGAACTGGCTTTGGTACGGTTCTCGGATGGAAGGGAAGAGTGTGCATGTCATCACCCCTCCCCCCACCCCGTCTGAGTGTCTCAAACGAACTGGCCGTTCTCTTTGGGAGTAACCTGGTCTTCTTGATTCCCTCCAGATGTTAGTAGGCAGGCCGAGGCCGAGGGAGACTCCAGCGAAGGAGAACAGTGGTACGGGAACTCCTCTGAGACCCCGTCAGAAGCGTCCTATGGGGAAGTCCAAGAGAACTATAAGCTGTCCCTGGAGGACCGGATCCAAGAGCAGTCCACATCCCCCGACACCTCCCTGGGCAGCGCCACCCCCAGCAGCCACACGCTGGAGCTGGTGGCACTTGATGGTGAGGTCCTCCGAGACTCGCTGCAGTGTCAAGGCCACCTTTCACCCGGAGTGTCCTCTGTGTGCGACGATGACCCGCCTAGTTCCAATAAACCTCTGAGCAGCAACTTGCGGCGGCTGCTGGAGGCCGGGTCCCTCAAACTCGATGGCACAGCCAATGGCAGGGTGGAATCCCCCGTGAATGTTGGCCCCAGTCTGTCTTTTTCCCCACCGTCCCACCATGCCCAGCAGCTCAGTGTCCTGGCCCGGAAGTTGGCCGAGAAGCAGGATCAGAGTGACCAATACACCCCAAGTAACCGTTTCATATGGAATCAAGGTAAGTGGTTGTCGAACTCAACCACCACCTGTGGCCTGTCCCCTGACTCCGCCATCCTCAAACTGAAAGCCGCAGCCAACGCTGTTCTGCAGGACAAGTCTCTGTCCAGGACAGAGGAGAGCCTGAGGTTCGAGTCCTTTTCCTCCCCGTTCAGCTCACAGTCTGCCAGCTCCACCCTGGCGGCTTTGTCTAAGAAAGTGAGTGAGAGAAGTCTGACTCCGGGTCAGGAGCACCCGCCTCCAGCCAGTTCTTTCCTGTCGTTGGCCTCCATGACCTCCTCCGCAGCCCTTCTGAAAGAAGTGGCTGCCAGGGCGGCAGGTAGCCTTCTGGCTGAGAAGTCATCTTTATTGCCTGATGATCCTCTACCACTGCCGCCTTCTGAGAAGAAGCCAGAAAAAGTCACCCCGCCCCCTCCCCCACCACCTCCACCAGCACAGCCTCAGGCCTTGGAATTATTACTACTTCCAGTTTCCAAGGGAAGAGTCTCCAAGCCCTCCAATTCAGGTATGGAATCTCGTTCAGCCGCACCGCTGGTCTCTCTGACTGTAAACTGCCCACCATGTCTTCCTCTTTGCCCTTTCTCTGGTGTGGGGTGGGGGAGCTTCCCATCCAAGACGAGGCAGAAATCAAAAAGCAAGGACACAACAAAATACTTAAAATGGACAGCATAATAGTCTTTCATGTGTGTGCCACACAAAGCCTTCACAAATAGCCATGGTTTTGAAAAGTAATGAATAATCTTAGCGAGGTGCAGTATACTCCTCCTTTCATGCACTCTCCCTATCCCCACCCCTTACCAAGTTCAGACTAGGTCCACACCAGATACATTCAATGGGAGAGATCAAAGCATCCTTGTCAGAGTGCAAGGCATCGGGGAACACAGAGGGGGAAACACTGCTTTAGAAACAGTGGCCAGGGGAGGCCCTGCTGCCTCTGGCACAAACGGACTGTTGGATAATCAGTATAACTGCTCTGTCCTGGTTGATCACAGCATACACCTTTGTTAGTATTTTTATTGCGTTTTTTGTGGACTTTAAGCTTTGTTCACCTATCCTGTTCGCCTGCAATTTCTTGTCAAACAGAATGCAAGCATTTCTTGCACAGGCTTCACTTTGTTCAAATCCATTCAGCTATGGAAGACTCTGTGTGTGTGTGTGTGTGTGTGTGTGTGTGTGTGTGTGTGTAAGATGGTCTTTTCCCAAGACGTCAGTGTCCCATAGAGCCCTGGCACTCACATCCAGATGCTCTGAGGGAGGGGTTTAGGCACTGCCTTGCCACCATGACAACGCCATGTTATGTCCCAGTTTGCTTCAGAACTGCATTTGTGATGTATACCTGTTCCCGGGACAGGAGTGGTTTCAAATGTCTCTCATGGATGTTCTGCAAAAACTGGAACAGGAGACAGACCGTGCCCTCTCATCATACATATAACCATTGTGTGTGACCTAGAACCTGTCAGTCATCCAGCAACTGCACTGGTGAAGTGTGCTTGTGATCATAGTTGACATCAATTTGGTATACGTGGCACATTGTCATTTAAGTTACAAATTCGACAAGTGCCATAATCGAGATCACATTGAGATTTACGTAGGGTTAGCGGGTTGGCTCTGTAGATAAAGGTGCCTGCCCTAAGCCTGACTCCTGAGATTGATCCCTGGAACTCAAGCAGAACATGACTCCTAAAAGCTGTCCTCTGACCTCCATACATACAGGATATATATGTCACACACTTACATGCACATACACACTGATAAGTGTAAAACGAACAATGGTAACAACAAACTTTGTAAACAAGTTAGGCACAGTGATCTATCATCCCAGTACTCAGTAAGGTTGAAGATTTGAGACTAGGCTGGACCCAGTAGGACCCTGACCCTGTCTATAAACAAGCAAAGTTGCAGATTGTCCTCAGACCTCCTTCTCCATTTGGTGTCTGTAACAGACACACACACGCACACACACACACACAGAGAGACATGCATGCATGTATACTCATGCACACGAATCAAAAGTGCAGGTCTTCTTCCATTGGCACAGTGCTATTCAGACAAAGCCAAATCTCAGCCTCCAGGTTGCCAATAAACCATAAACCAATAACAGACTAATGGCACATACTTATAATCTTTACATTGGAGAGGTAGAGGCAGAAAGATCAGAAGTTCAAGGTCATCTTTGGCTACATAATGACTTTGAGGTTAGCCTGGGCAACATGGAACCCTATACTGGGGGAAAAAACAAAAAGTACCCCAAACAAACAAATAACACACCTATTTCTCACTTCCACAAAGAGACCATGAAATCACACACCACCCTGATTCTTCTCTTCTCTTTTTTCTCTTCTCTTCTCTTCTCTTCTCTTCTCTTCTCTTCTCTTCTCTTCTCTTCTCTTCTCTTCTCTTCTCCTCTCCTCTCCTCGCCTCGCGCCCTCTCTCTCTCTCACTCTCTCTCCCCCCCACCCTCTCACTCTCTCCCTCACTCTCTCTCTCTCTCTCTCTCTCTCTCTCTCTCTCTCTCTCTCTCTCTATCTCTGGTTTTTCTTCAAGACAGGGTCTCTCTGTGTAGCCCTAGCTGTCCTGGAACTTGATATGTAGATTAGGCTGGCCTTGAACTCAAAGAGATCTGCTTGCCTCTGTCTCCAGAGTGCTAGGATTAGTGGTGCATGCCACCAGCACCTAGCACCTACCATTCTGATTTCAAGCAGGATTTTTTTTTAAAAGCTGTTTCTCAAAATGCTACAAAAAAGGCATATGACATTGTCCCTGGAGTTCTAGAGAGCTGTGTGCTAGGGAAGCTGATCTCGTCTCAAGTAATTTAGACACCAGACAGTGCTTTGTCCTTCTTTGGGTCAAGGGAGTCCAGATCATGAAAAAATAGTGTCTTTCAGGTCTGGCTTTCTTCTTTTTTTTGAGCAGGATTCTGTTGTTGCCAGGTCATGGTGTGTTGAATTCCTTGAGAGTCCGGCACTCAGTAGCCTTTCCCACCCCTCCAGAGAGATGTGACACTCTACTGGGAGGCTTCTTTCCTGTGACCTGTGCCCCCAGCACATGCTACACTTCTCTTCTGAAAGGGGACACGCTAAAGGAGAGATGATGTCCATTTGCTATAAAGATAAATGTCACACATTGACTCAGTCTCTTTGAAGCCACTGTTCTCTTGCAGCTCAGAATAAAATAAATGGTTTTGATTTTTAAGACAAAGTTTCTAGCAGAAAGCCAGTGGGAGTTCCAGGATGCCAGGCTCCTGGTTAAAGAAATAACAGGCGTTGTTTCAGAGAGAGGGCCTCAAAAACATAATTTTGTACAAAGTAAAATTTACATCAACATTAGAGCACCCTGGCTCCAAGAAACTTACAACTAAGGCTATTTGCAGGGTCAGTCCATAAGGGCTTTCTGGGCTGATGTTTCCTTTCGTCTTTATGGGGTATTACTAAGATCACTGCAGATGGCTTACAAAGTCTAGAGAAGATGACCTCTCCCACCCTCCCATTAGTTTCACAGTTGCTAGAGCCTTTACCCAGAACAATTACATACACAGGCTTGCCTAGGAAGCTCACTTTCCAGCAGGAATCAAATCTGCTGCTGGTCTTGGATGTTTTCAGAGTGATTTCAATATGGAATGGTAAGTATGAGGCTTGGTTATATTCAATGCTTGTTAAGACATGCACAGAGAATGTCACGTATATTAGCCATAACAGCCTTGTGACCTAAGGTTATTTCCACCCCTGACTCCCCTTCACTGAAAAGTCATTGGAGAGACATGCCCAAGAGATTTAAAGTCTGTGCTGGGGATATAGCTAGGTTAGTAGAGTGCTTGCCTACATGCATGAAGCCTTGGGTTTGGTCCCCGGTACCTCATTAACAGGCTGTGGAGACTCTTACCTTAGAGGCAGCGCTCCAGAGGCCACAGGACAGTCAGAAGTTCAATATCTTATTCAGATGTATAGCAAGTTTGTGGGCAGCTGGAACTACAGGAGACTCCCTCTTACAAACCAACTTCAACCAAACAAAAAAGATTTTAAAAACTTTTACATGGAGTTTAAAACCCTTGTATATTGTTGGAAAGGAGGGTTCACCCTACACATATGTGCACCAGTCAAGTGCACACATCTAAAGTGTTGTTGATAATGTCACGTGCATGGAGTATGAATCCACATCCAGAGGCCCCGGCATCTACACACGCCATCAATGCCCAGGGTAGGAGCTGTGCGCATTTATTCAATTGCAAGTTATCTTGATTTCCAGCACGTTCTAGCATAGGCCAGAAATGTTTGATTTCAAAGCCTACAAAAACTTGAATTTTAAAAAATAATCCATGAACAAAGAAAACCATTCATGATTTATTAATGTTATTATTATTTAGCTCTGTGAGGTTCTGTTTTTATTGTTATGTGGATTTATGTTGATAACAGGGTCGAACACCAAACTGGAAATTAGGAGGTGCACTGTGATCTCAGCTCTGTCTCCAGATAGCTGAACTTTAACACCCCCACCACCCCTGAGCGCACTCGTTCAGTTTGTTTCATTGTGTGAGAACAGAGATATTTAGAATTGTCACTAAGATCTCTTCCTCTTTTCTTTCATTTTCTTCTTTTTAAAAAATTAAACACATGGCTTGTTTCTTTTCAAAGCTTCCTGTCAAGTCTCCAGTAAGGTCACCTCTGCTTTGTGCAAAGTCTGTTCATTTTGATGGTTCGAAGTGTGTCATTCTACTTCACTAGGGATGTAGGTTTCATATCAGCTGCTTGGAGTTTGCTTTTGAAGCAGCTGAGGTGTGAATGCACGCGCACATGTCTGCTCATCCATCCATTGGTCCAGGAGCATCTCTGGGCGGCCCATGTGAGAGGCATGTGCTGTTGGTCCATGCTGGCCCTGTCAGGGTTTCATTACTTACTACAGTCTCAGCTCTGCCCTTTCCACAGTGCCTCATTAAAGGCACTATCTGGAGCTCAGGAGACATACAGGTAGGGTGCCCAGCTACAAACCCCTTCCCCCTCATCTTTCCCCTCTGGTCTTCCATGTGGAGCTTGTCCAGGCTGAGCTGCACAGTGGACTCCTGGTCCTTATTTCCTTGGGGCTTCTGATACCACTCCTGAGTCAGGCCGATTCTGAGCTGCATCTTCACAGCTGAGTTTGCATCTGCTCTGAGGGTGGATTTTCTGCCTGGGAGGGCGTATCTACAATCCATCCTCATTCTGCACAGTAAACCCACCACTCCTAAGTGCTTCTGTTGACCTAGGTTGCCTTCTGTCTCACGGTTATGTCTGTAGAGGGAGCACGCTTTCTCGGAGCACATTAACAGTTCTCTGTCCCACTGGGTCTGTTAGCATCAGGTGGAATTTAGTTTTGTTTACAGTTATGTGTTGGAGGGTACTTGATTACCAGGCAGGTATAAAGTAGGTAAAATCGTGAACGCTGCAGTCTTGGTGCTTTCCAGAATGTGTGTTTCCTCCTGGGAGGGGACTGCATTTCCCTAGGCGCGAAAGAGCAAAAGTTACCACAAACAGTTTGGCGTATGAAAGAAACTGCTTTCTTCCACTCATCTCTTGTCATCAACAGCACTGTGTACACATGAGATGTGTCCTAAGATGTGAGATCTCTTCCTTGAATACATAAAAATGCAAATGTCACCAGGAGCTAACCACTGGCACAGTCTGAAAATCACTCAGTGCATTCTGGTGACTTTTTCCGTTTGGCTTCTGTCTTCCTTTCCTTCCACAATAGCTTCAAATTTCCAGGGGCTGGGGAGATGGTTTAGTTAAAGAGTTTGTTGCACAAGCATAAAAATCTGAGTTTGATCCCCCAGAACACACATAAAAGTGTGTATCTTTGTAATCCCCTACCAGGGAGGCTGAGACTGTCAGATCCCAAAGATTACTGGTCCACCATTCTATCAAATGGGCTATTTCCAGGTTCAGGGAGAGACAGTCTCAAAAAAGTAAGGTGGAGAGTGATCAAGGAGCCTTCACAAGCCCACTCACACATAACTGCACGCACACACACACACACACACACAGAGAGAGAGAGAGAGAGAGAGAGAGAGAGAGAGAGAGAGAGAGAGAGATCATTTTTCAGTCAGTGTCTTCTCATTATATTTTGCTAGACTATTCAAGGACTCCCTAATTTGTACACGATTCATGTGTACTTCAGTACTAATTAAAACTAAAGGCAATATACTTTCAGAATGAAATAAATGGATTTATATGAAGTGCTAATATGCAGGCTTTATTACATTTATGCATTATTTATAATTATTTTTGGAATTAACCGAGTTTGTACTTGCCAAGGCTACTTTTGGATGATACTGGAAAGATTCTGGTATAAGGTAATGCATTGCATGTAACATACTTGAAAATGCAGAGTCGCTGATCAAGATGGCGGCAAGGGAGATGACTAAGGGAACAGAGACATTGTTGATTGTCCAGGCAGAGCTTGGCTCCAGGGGAGTATGCACTCTGGCCATGTTGATTTTTGTACTTAGTGTCTTCTTTGGGTGTGCCATAAAGTTACCTGCCTGGGCCCGAGGTCTCGCTTCTCTTTCCTTCTTCCTCTGCTTGTTCTGTAAAATTAGTTTCTGGTTTCAGTAGTGGAGAACACTGCTTGTTTGTGCGTGTGTCCTCCATATTCCTCTGATCTTCTTATGACCCACAATAAACATTATTATTATCATTATTATCATTACTATTTCCTCTATTGTCTACCAATGGTCTCACTTCGAGGCCTACCTAGTCTGGGCCTTGCTTGACAATCTGTTGTACAATATGCAGGCTTTGGGGCCCAAGATATCAGTATGGGGGAGCCAGCGATGGAGGAGAGGCTGGTGCCAGATTGGGGGTGGGATGAGATCAGCCCAGGTAGTCCACACAGACAGGGGACCTCTGACCTTTCAGAATTGAGCAATGGGGGCCTGTCCAAGGTATTTGTCTTGGAGTAGAAGGAACACCCAGCTGTCCATGCCTGCTATCAATCAGAACACCAGAAGCTGACTTTTCAGTGCTGAGGGTTTATTTTCAGTTAGAGGATGCCTTTTCTAACTGCTTAGTTAAGCCAACGAGTATCACTTATACCTGTATTTGTAAAATTGCATTTTTTTTACATCGCCTAACCTTATTTCCAAGCCTTTCTGGTTCCATCCATTTTAAGTGTCTCTTGGCATGTAGAAGCAGGGTTGACTCAATGAATAAATAATTGAGATTATCTTGAAGTATGCACTTGGGAATGTTTCCTTTAAAAATCACAGAAGTAATGTTTGTATTTAAAAATTCAAATAGTACAGTATGGAAGGAGAGCACAGCCTTCCCTTACCGCTACCACCACGCACGCGCACCAGCTCCTCACCGCCGCCGCCACCACCACCACCACCACTGCGCACGCGCACCAACTCCTTCCTCCTGGCCCACAGTCCCACTGTGGCTGTGGTTTAGAGGTTTCTCCAGTGTGAATTCAGAAAGTCCTCATGCAATAAAAGGATACCACGTTTTCATTGTTAGCTTCATGTAATCATGCTTGCTCTGATATTTTAAACCAGAGCCAAGACATATCTGTTTGCTTGTAAATACTCCCGGATCTTTATGTCTACAACAAGTAACACAAGATTCCACTGTCCCATTTAGCAGAGCCTACGATCGCTATAGTGAATTAAAGGGCACTACCTCGCTTCCATCTCAGAAATGTCTTTCACTGGAGTGTAGGTTACACAGGCTCCAGATTAGCCTTACACCTTCCGTTGGGTTTTGTGTACCTTTTTTGTTTTCTTATTAACCATAATTTATTCCCATATGTGTGTGTGTGTGTGTCTGTATAACGTGTGGGAGTACACGTCTCTGCTTCATGCCTTCTGATAGTCCATCTATTAATTATTGTCATAAAAATGTAATCAGCCTCAAACTAGCAGCTTATCAGAAACAGAGCTAATAATAATAATTTTTAAAAAAGCCAAACATACTATGTGGACGCAATCAGTTGTAGAACATGGAAGATTCCTCAGGACAAATGACCCAGTTTCTTTCATCATAAATCACAAGGAACAGAGGGACCTGTAAAGTGCTTGCCTCTTAAGCATGAGGACTCAAGTTGAGATCCCCAGCACGTATGTAAAAGGCAGGCACAGCAGTGTATGCCTATAATCTCATTGCTGGGGAAGCAGAGACAAGAGGATCCCTGGCAGGCACTGGCCTAGCCAGAACAGTGAGTTTCAAATAAAATAAAAGGTAAAAAGCATTTGGGGATGTATCTTTTTTTTTTTTTTGGTTTTTTGAGACAGGGTTTCTCTGTGCAGTCCTGGCTGTCCTGGAACTCACGCTGTAGACCAGGCTGGCCTCGAACTCAGAAATCCGCCTGTCTCTGCCTCCCAAGTGCTGGGATTAAAGGCATGCGCCACCACTGCCCGGCGGGGATGTATCTTAATAGCAGAAGAGGCCTAGGATCAACCCCAGCCCCCATCTTAGACACACACACACACACACACACACACACACACACAGAGCCTTCAACGGCACCCACTTTTATTCCCCTTAGTCCCAATTGTAGAGGTTAGCTGATGGATCAGAAACTCAGCTACAGCATCACAGCAGAGACGCTTCCTCGTAAGGATGGTTCAGGAGGCAGCAATCCGAGCTATGTTTGGGGAAAGTGGTCGGTTTGTTTGCTTCCCTGGAAATTGGAAGCATTTGTGGTAGCCTGGTGTGTCCCTTCCTACAGTGGCCAGGCCTTGTGCAGATCAGAGAAGGACAGCACACAATTGTCAGAGGCAAGCAGAGGGACAGACATAAGAGGAAAAAAAAGCCCTGACCTGAGGACCCCCTGATGGCTAAATTGGCAGCAGCCTCTGTCTGCAGGAGCCACAGCTAAACAAGTCATCAGTGGGACGCTGAGCCCTGTCTCCGCTGGGGGCCAATGTGAGAGCTTTCTGCTAGTTGTTTGGTTTTCTGTGCGGACAGTGCATTATTCCCTGTCCCATGCGATCCCATTGTCTGTATTTCTCACTCACTTCCAAGTAGGATTTCAGATAGAGACTCTGGCTTCTCTGTCTGTGGGTGCATTTGAAGCCACACGAAGCCCCTCTTCAGGTGGCCTTGCAGTCCGTGACAGTTATGGGGAGTAAAGGTGTCACAGGCAGGATGGTCAGTAGAACCCAAATAGAAGCGGCTAACTGAATGTTGGTTTCTCCTTAAAGAAAGCAGCCATAAGAGTTTCCCCACAGTTATAATCCTAGAATCTCCAAAGGGGTAGTGCCAAAGACATATTTGGTGCTTTTTATAATATTCCTTTTTTTTCCCTCCCTCTTCCAAGCCCCAGAAGAAGAAAGTGGGAAGCCATTCCAATGTCCAATATGCGGTTTGGTTATAAAGAGGAAGAGTTACTGGAAGCGGCATATGGTGATTCACACAGGCTTAAAAAGTCATCAGTGTCCACTCTGTCCGTTCCGGTGTGCTCGCAAGGACAATCTCAAATCCCACATGAAGGTAAGCCATTTGCAGAGACATGGCTGGGGTTTCTTCCTATGATCGACTGCAGGTGGCTTCTTGGCCGACAGGGAGCACTGTGCGGGGAGCAGGCCCAAGAAAGCTAGTGAGTAGAATGGAGAAGTCTCAGGGTCAGGTCCCAGAGACTGACGGTGTTCAAGCTAGTATCTCTTGGAATGACACCAAACATCCCAGAACGTCATTTTCTTTTTCTCCTTCTTTTTGGTTTTTTGAGACAGGGTTTCTCTGTGTAGCCCTGGTTGTTTGGAACTGACTTTGTAAACTAGGCTGGCCTCAAACTCAGAAATCCACCTGCCTCGACATCCTGAGTGCTGAAATTAAAGGTATGCACCACCCCCACCTGGCTTATATCATCTTTACTGTCTTGTTAAGAACCATTATGAGGCCTGGGGAAGGACTCAGTTAACCACTTGATAGGTTAGTAAGTTCCAATTTCCAGAAACCCTTATAAGTTGTGGGGATAGCCCATGACCTGCAATTCCACCCTCAGAAGGGGGGACAGAATCCCCCCAAGCAAGTTGTATAGCTAAGCCATATCAGCATCTCTAGTTGGATTAAAAATCTCAATGACTAAGGTAGATGAGTGTTCAAGGGTGATTCCTGACATTGGTCTATGGCCTCCCCAGGGCTGTGCACAAGTACATGCACATGTGCCCTAGTACACGTGCAATCATATGTGACACATGGACACAGACTGCATACTTTTATACTGAGGTTTTGCTTCAGTGTTAGGGAAGAAACTCACAAGTTCACAAGAGTTTGACATTCTGAATTTGACAAAGAACTGAATTGAAATCTTCCCAGCACTTTGCTAGCCAAACAGCCTAGACTCTCGGTTTTCCCTTCTTCCTAATGGGAAGGGTCGGTTGTAGGACCTGTCCTTAGTTCTAAGGGGGGTATCAGTAGCAAGGTGCCTGGCCCAGATGTGCTCATAACCATGCCTAGCATCTTAAAGAGAAAAATAATATTTTACTGATAACTTTCAGTGTGTCTTAGACGTGACATTACATGTAGAGTCTCTTCCCCTGGATAAATCTAGTGGACGTCTGCTCATGTTGAAATCTTGAATTTGAATCTTTTTGCATTGACCAGTGATTGCTATTCAGACTGATGCTGAAGAAAGGACAGTCCCACAAATTTTCTATTTACTGTAGAAAATAGCTTAGAGGGTTTGTTTTTTAAAAAGTAAGTCTACGATTTGTTTTCTATCATTTGCCATTTTCTCCCGGGGTCAGCAGCCAGCCCTTCATCTTCAGAATTCATTTAAGTAGGAGTTCCAGCTGACTGAATTTTATGAAGCCTACTTGGTTATTACCTTAGCCCTCCTCATCCCTGGTCACCTCTTCCCTATGTAAAACGTCATACTTTAAACCTGTAGCATTGAGACTTCAAAAGCAATGTCTTTTTTAAAACTAGAACTTGTGTTAGTGACTGTGTCCTAGGCTGTGTTTAGAAATCAGGTCTGGTGAGTTTAAAGCTTCAGCGAGCAGAAAACTTGCATCTACCCTGACACCTTGTAAGCTTGGTTTCAGCTCAGGGTCACTTAAAACAACCTATTTATAAACCCATGGAAAAAAGGCTGGGTTTCAATAGCAGGAACTGCTGACCCTGACACTACAGGGAGATGAGCTGGTGCCTTGATGACAGAGGCGGACAGCCATGACAGTGTTGCAGATGAGAGCTGCCCGGGCTCGGCGGGTCGTGGGATCCTGAGAGCTTTCAGAACAAATCAATAACTACTACAATAAAGCGGTTGTGTGCAATCGCTACTTTATTCAGACTCATGGTGTCCTATCCTGTTGAGCGGTGACTCGGGCTTTTGATATGGGGAGTTCGAAAAGCTTATGCAAGTTTAATTTCATCAAAGGCACACCTTCCTGCCCCTGCTCTCCTCCCCGTTAGCCTTAAAACTTATTTTTAATTGCATACAATTTAACTTTCCAAAAATTGGCAAACATTTTCTCCATGGGACTGTTTCAGTGTGATCTTATGCATTCTTGTATTCTGTTACCTTTACCGGAGGCTGCAGATGTAGATAATTTTTCCAAAATGAATTTTATCTGAGAAGTAGGGGCACTCTAATCAAAGGTTAAGGTTTAGCTTGGTGAGAGTCTCTGACTCTGTGATCTTAGCTTGGTGAGAACCCACGCCTGTGGAGCTGTGAGCGTTTAGTACGATGGTTGAAGCCCTCTAAACCTCTGTTACCACTAATGGAGAAAACAAACATATGGTCTTTCTCACCCGGTAAGAGCTAATGAGATCATCACATAGAGTCTTCATACAGTGCCCAGTGTGGAGAGGCAACCGTCAGTGAATACAGTGACTACAGTAATTGTCATCCAAAAGCCATCTGAAAATACATCAACATTTACATTTCGGGATAATGAATGGAATGCTAGAAAAATTACCCCAAAATAAATTTTATGGCTTCTCTCTCTTTGTGACCTGTCTTTAGTGCTGAGAATTCACAAAAACAATACAAATAATACAAAATTGGCTATTTATCTCACCCCGCAGAAGTAGTTGTTCTTTTCAGGATATATCATCTCCTGTATTGATTAGATTGGTCTATGTCAGAAAAAACCAAGAGATTCCACTTTGTTCAAGAGATTCAGACTTACTGTGTCCCTTCACACAGGCCTAGGCACTGTACAATTGTTTTGCATGCTTTCATTTCCTTCACAAGGTATCGTGCAGGTGCTTTCTATTACCAGCTGCATGAAGAACTTGAAACTGCTTCCAGGTTCTCACGGCTGCCTTACGTTTCATGAGGGGTACAACTTTCCCGGAAGAAAGAGCATACAGGAATTGAATGTGAGACTCACAGGCTTGAACTGAATGGGAGAGGCAAAGAGGGTTGAGAAGATGGAGAACACACATAAAGTCATGGAAAGAAACTGGGCCAGAGGTCACATGTGAGTTCTGCCCTTCCTAGGTCGACATTTAGGGAGCTGGGACCACTCATGAGATCCTCAGCTGCCTGGCCTGGTACCCAAGGAGGTTGAGTCTAGATACTCTCCAGAATTTCTCCAAGTCTTAAAGTACATCAGCCCAAGTATCCTACATCTGTTACCCTAGAAATGGCCTCGATGTCGCATCAATGACACCTGTGAGAGACTCCAGTGAGCCTATCTTGCTGTGGGTCAGCATTTCTTTTTATTAGTGGTCCAAGAGGGTCTTCAAAGCGTGTGTTAGCTCAGAGAATCAAAATTATAACAGAAAAGCTCTCTTCTGTGAAGAGAGGAGGGTGATGCAATCGCCGGGTTGTGGGGACAGTACTTCTCTCAAAGTTCACACTAAGCCACATTCCGAGTGGGAAGGTGTTGCTCAAATAAAATTCCAAGTGCCAACGTGAACCTGGTTTTGCCTCTCAACTTATTCTAAATTTCCTAAAAGAAGCCACAAGGAATCTTGCACATGGAGCCTCTTTTCAGGGGTGCCTCCACCCCCATCCCCTTTTGGTTTGGAATCAGAGCTCATCTGTCCCATTTCTTCTCCCAGAGTGGCTTCTGGAGCTTCTGTTCCTGGATTAGCTCCTCTCTGGGGTCAGCAGATGTGAGTGCACTTCTGAAATGGAATCCACCCTGTGGCACTGGGCTCAGGGACATGAACCTTCCTGCCCAGTGACCTTTACCTCCTGGCTCTGGGCACGCCTGTGTTGATACCTGTCAGGAGCCCTTGAGACTGTGACCTGAGGCTCCAAGGGGCCTCTTCCTGAGTGACCCGGCTGAGGAGCTGGTGAGGAAGCTTCTGGCCTCTGTGAGAAAGCCAATGGAAGGATGAGTGTCCAGTGGGGTCCTATTGTGGCAAAAAACAGGAAGGGGCTCTGTTGGAGGGATGGACAGGGTGTTTCCTCACCTCCACCCTCTGTTGGGGTACAGGAGAAGCCTTTTACCGGGCATGCAGGACTCTGTCACAACTGGATGTACGTTTTTATGGCTATTTCTGTTGAGAAACACAGGCTTCAAAGGGCCCACAATATCTTTTGTTGTTTTTTGCAGAAAACCACAGTGGGGTGCTGTGGCAGCGGGATCTTGCGATTAACTTTTAATTTCTTTGCTTTTGTTGGTCACTTAACATTATTTAAAGTGTGTTTTGGCTGGTGAAGAATGCTTTTGGATCTCATTCAGAAGGCATAAACAGCTGCAGTAAAACTTATTCTCTTGGAAAGGAGACATGAGCAGAGTGGCCAGGTGGTAAAGAAGACGGACAAGCGAGCACTTAACTCCACTGCGACCCAAGTTCAAATCCTACCCGGTCACCCCTGACCTATGGAGCGTCAGTTTTGTTTCGAGTGCCAATCGCTTACGTTCTTGTTTGTTCAGAGCACACAACTCCCCCAAATCATTTGGCGCAGATCTACACCATTGGCAGTCCCTACTTGAGGGAGGGCCAGTCCTGAAATAGCAGGGTGTAGCAGGTCAATACTGAGGCCCGTTGGCGGGATGAATGGGGAAGTCACAAGTTTATGAACACCTGCCAGCTGACGCCTGCCTCCGGCCAGGCCAATGATTTCCTCACTTTTTTCAAGCACTAAATTTGGTAGTGACGGAATGAAAGAAAAGTTTCATGCCATTTTCACAGGTCCTGGGTATGAGCAGGTTTGGAGGTGGGTGTACGTGCCTGCCCTTGCTCTTCACAATGGACATCTTCTAGACCCTGTAGTGACATTTCGAACTTGGTATCTTCCTGCCCAGATGGTTTTTCTCTTGTTTTTCTTTCTTCATATGAAACTGGGCTCAAGATACTTTTTGGGGGTTTAGGGTGTTCCATCTCCTCATCTGTGAAGCTGGAACACCCTGGAGACTCTCTCTCTCTCTGTGTCTGTGTGTGTGTGTGTGTGTGTGTGTGTGTGTGTGTGTGTGTATGTGTGTGTGTGTGTGTATGTGTGTGAGTGTGTGTGTGTGTTGGCAAACTAGTAAATTCTCATAGTGGCTATTACTGGATCTGTACTAAAGATTGTTATGAGAATGAAAGGTTATGTCTTTTGATCCCTAACTACTGATTATGTAAGTTTGTTCTCAAGGTCTATCAGGAGATCTGTTGACGAGCTCATTAGAACATTTCTACCCAAACCAGCATAGAGAGGGTCAGGATAGACCTAACCTCCGAGGACCCACTCTGTGTTTCAGGATTGATGTTATTTTATCCAGTGCATCACCTAGAGTAGCCTCTCTGGCTCTTTTCTTCCCTGGCCCTGTATGAACTGAGGAACTTCTTGACTCATGTGTGGCCATGCAGGGGGGCATTTTCCATCAGTGCACAGTGACAAGTCTGACTCTTCTTGCTTCTCCGGCAGGTTCATCAGCATCAGGACCGGGGAGAGACTTTTCAGTGCCAGCTGTGCCCTTTCACATCCTCACGCCACTTCAGCCTGAAACTGCACATGCGTTGCCATCAGCACTTCCTGAGGACAGAGGCCAAGGTGAAGGAGGAGATCCCAGACCCAGATGTCAAGGGATCTCCCCACCTCAGTGACAGTGGCTGCCTGGGGCAGCAGAGGGAAGGAGGAGGGACAGAGCTAGTGGGGACCGTGATGACGTCTAACACGCCAGAGAGGACTGGCCAGGGTGGGGCTGGCGTTGCACCTTTGCTGGTGAAAGAGGAGCCCAAGGAAGATAACTGCCTGCCCGCCTCCTTTACCCTGAGTGCTGCCGACAGGCCCGCCAACCACACAAAGCTGAAAGACCCCTCCGAGTATGTATCCAACAGTGCAGCGGCATTGTTCAGCCAGGACATCTCGGTTAAGATGGCCTCCGATTTTCTCATGAAGCTGTCAGGTACTTGCTTAGGGTTGTGTTCTCCCTTTTCTCATCTGTATACTAGGATGGTAGGACTAGATGCTTCCAAAGTTCCTTGAGCTCTAATACTTCACACTTTGATAAAAATTTTTTCTTTCCTTCCCATCTTCCCTTCCCCTGTCTTTTCCTTTTTTTGTTTTTATGTTTTGTTTTTGTACTCCTTTGGAAATAAGCATTATTCCTGCTTGGGTCTGGAAACAATAGGGAACGCCCCTTCCTCCTGCCTGGATTTGGGCTCGCTCTTAGTGAGCACTTGGGGTGTAAGCTCGACTTGTGTCTTTTGCTTCCTAGATCCTTTGCTTGCTTTGTGCCGGTGTCTCTGAAGTGTGTCTCCCTTTTTTGGTATTAAGGGTTCTTTCCTGTTTTAATTGCAAAGCTTTTTTTTTTTTTTTTTTTTTTTTTTTAGAACATTTACAGAATCTACCATGAGTAATTACAGACTTTTCTAACTTAAACAAATGTTAAAGGTTACCACCAGTTTCTCAGGATCTTTGCATTGAGATAAACATACTTAAGATATCCTGGTGTAGACATTTTTCAGGTGTGCATTTTAGTGGCATTAGCATTACATCATTGTGTAACCATCTCTGGAAGCGTGTCCACTCTTAAACTGTATCACTCCATGACAAAGTCCCTGCCGGCCTTCCCCTCGACTCCCACCAACCGTTATTTACCTTCTGTCTCTATGAACTTGACCGTTGCAAGCATCTCCACTAAAGTGGAATTTAAGAAAAAATTTCAAGCATCCTTTCCCAATGCCCTAATGCCCTTTGAAGAGAGGCTGATGTATAAGTTATGAAATATGTCTTGCTAATAGACATTGTTTCCCATTGCTAGCACATTGTACATATTTTACTTCTCAATGACTTGATGAACTAGCAATGCTGCCCAGGGTGGAGCACTGTGTTTTTCTTAGTCTCCTGGAGCAATAACACAGGTAGGCCTGTGCTGCTTTTGAAAATATGATTTTAAATTTTAAAGGCATTGTAGAGGGTGGAGAAAGGTCGGTTGAGAATGGGTTCTGTCTGTCAGTGAAGGTGGCAGTCCCCAGGATGATTTCCAAATGCCATTTCAGCTCTCTGGAGATTGACAATACCCTTTAAATGGAGAATAATTGGTCACCGCCTTCCTTTAAATGGACCATGCGTAGTATTTCACTAAATGTCATTGCCAGGTGAATGAGAGGCACAGCTTCACTCTGAAGTCCCTTTGCTCTGTGACACTTCAGTCCGGTCTTTTGGAATGTACCTTCTCACCCTGATCTTTGCCCCTTAGCAGTGGGAGACATGAGTAGAGGAGACAGAAGAGGGTGGGGATGAAAAATGAGACATCCAGCAAATGATCTGAGATAGAGAGAGCAGGGGAGCTACAGGATGCTGGTGACACTGGGAAGATGCTCCGCTGTCGGGACCTGTTGGGCTTTTATTCCATCTGGCCCAGGTTCCCGTTCTTTCCCTCTCTCTCTCTCTCCTTTTTCATCTCCACCTCAAGGAAAATAAGATTTTACTCTGAGATTTATAGAAAACAGGATCGACTCGTAGATTTATATTTATTTATTTTCCCAAAATATGAGGGAAATGGGTGTTTCCTTTTTGCCTTCCTGGATCCTTTAGAATGTTCCCTGATGCCGTGGTGATTGCTTCCAGTCCTGGGAGAAGGACAGACAAGGCTACATGACATCCTGTCCCCCAAACCATAACATAACAATGAAAAATCCCAAGCTGTTACCTATGGCTGATCCCTTTTCTGGTCTCCTACAGTGCAGACCCCAGAGTCAAATGCCACGTTCATTTTGCATAACTTAGCATGGTGGATGTTTCCTTACTTAGCAGGCAAAAGCAAGCTGAGTAGAGGGTGCATAGCATGTTCTAAAGTCTATTCCCTTCTCTCTGAATCCAGATCCTCTTAGGTCTAGAGAATGAGCAGGGGATGGAGTCAGGAGGGGCTGTGGCTGCCCTGCAGCCTTGATCTTGGGCTAAAAACAACAGTGTGTGATACAGGGCTCCTGCTGGGCTCAGCTCTGAGCAGCAGCTCTTCCCATCCCACCAGACACTGGGTTGTAATTATTAGCTCCAGTGGGTCTCAGTGAGTGTGAGAGAAGGCTTCGGCTGCACAGAGCCAGAGCTCCCAATAGCACAGAGAGAGGGAGAAGCAGTTTGTAGGTTGGGGTGAAGCACGGTGTGCCAAAGCCTTAAATATTGGGATCTGTTGTTTTCAGTTGTAGGGGGGATGGGGAAAGGCTTCTTACAGTTTGGCCATGGGAGAATTTACAGACTGATCAATTGGCATAAGAAAACAGATAGCAAAGGCACACTGTTTATGCAAAAGGCCCATGCAGCTGTTTTATGGAGGCTTACTAGAGGTCCTGAAACCTGACTTGTATGCACTGTTACCTAGCAACCTGTTATAAAGTCACCAGGGAGTGAGATGCATCGGTAATTTTTTTGTGTGTGCATATTTGGATGTAAATGTAAACTTGGTGACTGTGGCAATGCTGCCCACGGGAGGAGACGTTATGTTAAAAGGAAAGGAATAGGTTTTTCTGCAGAGATCCTCACCCCCAGCCCTGCCTCTGCCTTCTGTGTGCTCTACCTGGTTCTCTTGGTGGATGTTTTCCAGGGACACAGTCCCAGGGTGCTATGGCTGAGCTTCCTGCTCTTCTTGCCCTCAAATGGTGTGAACTAGTGGTTAGCCCCAGGCCTTGTCCCTCAGTAACACAATGTCGCCATTGTTCTTGAACTGGTTTTTTCCCCTTAGGGCTCTGTCCTTGCACCTGCTGGTACCATAGGGTGCAGCTGTTTGTGGGCAGCGAGTCTGGGAGTCTCTGTGCCACATCCGAGTCTGCAAAGACCAAGCACAGTGACAAATTCAAGCGTGGAGACACCTACTTATTTCCAAAGGGGAGAGAGAAAACACTTGATGCTTTTTGGTCATTCGATTAAAACCAAGCAGAAACTGACTGAATGACTGAATGCAGCCCGCAGAGGTTCACAATCATGGGGTGGGATGCAGTCTTAAACATACTGTAACCCAGTGGTTCTCAACTTCTGGGTCTCAGCTCCTTTCAAGGTCAAATGACCCTTTTATAGGGGTCACCTAAGACTATCAGAAAACAAATATTTACATTATGATCCATAACAGTACCAAGATTGCAGTAGCAATGAAAATTGTTTATGGTTGGGGTCACCACACCATGAGGAACTACATCAAAGGCTCACAGCATTAGGAAGGTTGAGAGCCACTACAACCCTCCCCCAATTTAGAGGTTTCCTGGCTAATTGCTTTTGAGACAAAATCCTGTCTCTGAACCACTAGTTATTTTTCCCGATGAATCCTGACAACACTCCTCAATCCTTTGAGGGCCAGATTGCTCCCTAGACCCAGGCTCACAGTCTATCTGCATTGGTGGGCAAAGAAATAATTCTGTAGACTCTGCTCTGGGTTTGGAGACAGGAGACAGGCTTTCCAGGGCTGTAGCCTGCTGTTTACACAGGTCTTTCCTGGAAGCCAGAAAACGTATGCAAATTGTTGTATGACAGGGTGACCTACCTCAGATCACGTGACTGGGAGTGTTCCTAGGATTAGTGCTTACCCAGCCTGGGCAGCTACTATTGCCCCAGCTGACCCCTGGCCTGTCTCCCATGGCCAGCAGCGGTTTTTAAACCCCACAGCAAGTTAGACTGTACCTAGGGAGTTTTTAATAAAATGCCAGGGCCCAAAGAATGATGGCTTAATTAATTGGTCTGGGCTAGGCCCTAGACTTCGGTATTTTCCTTACATTCCTTTGGTGATTCTAGCAGGTATCCAGGACAAAGGTCAGCTGATATGAGACAGGAAGTGGGTACCTTGGGGCTGGAGATGTAGCATGGTTGGCGTATGCTTGCCCTCCATGCACAAAGCCCTGGGTGACAGAGACAGGAAATGGTGATGCACACCTCTGGCTTCAGCACGAGGGAGGCAGAAGCAGGAGGATCAGAAGTTTACTCTCCAGCTACTTAGAGAATTAGAGGCCAACCTGGACTACAGGAGACACGATTTAAAAAAAAAAAAAGATCCTCAAAACAAACAAAGTACCCCAAAGTGGTACTCAGCACAGCATTTTCCAGGACAGCTTCAGAGTGTCTGAGTATACGTCTTTCTTTCTGTCTAAGCCCATGAAAAGGGCATGACGCTTTGAGTGTGACACACCTCATTGCAGGTCAAGGCTGACATGAAGGGGAGGCAGAGTCATGTTCACTGAGCTCTGTGATCTTCCCGCAGATAAAAATTCCCAGACTAGATTGGAAGCCTCCAGATGCTGGGAGCCAGGGACCTGGGGAGATGGCTCTTTCAGTGAAGTGTGTATTGGAGCAAGCATGAAGGTGTGGGTTTAGTCCCCAGCATCCATGTAAAAAGCCGGTATGGGGGCACAAACTTGTAACCCCACTGATAAGGAGAGAGACGGTGGATCCCTGAAGTTCACCAGCCAGACTGTCCTAATTGTCAAGTCCTAGGTACAGTGAGATGCCCTGTCTCAAAAAACAGGGTGGACAGCTCCTAAAAATGATGCTCATGGTTGACATTTGGCCCATATGTGTACATATGCATGCCCCAACACATATACATAGGAACACACACGCTTACAAAGAGCGTCCTCATTAAAGCGACAAATTACAAGTTGCCTGTAATGGTCTTCTATCGTGTTTTCCTCCAAGATGCCATTTTTCAAGATATAAATTTAATTCTAACTCCCCAAATTATAACCAAGCAGCTAGTTGACAGAAACTTGGCACCTTACTTGTTGGCAAGGGATATCTTTTTTGTCCCCGGCTTTCCAAAATAAAAGATACAAGTCATTTAGACTATTTTTAATCTGGAAACTGACAAAAAGTTTTGTGCTGTCTCCCACATCCGATTAGCTCCATGGAGTCGACACCAAAATCATTTTAAGTAGGGAAGGGAGGCCTTCTGAAGTCTCTCGCTTTCCGCTGCACAGAGAC